TCAAGTAGGGAACAAATTTTCAAGCCGCGGAGATGGGGGAAGGAGAGGACGTGCCAGCAGTACAGGGAGGAGGGAGGTTGGGGAAAGCCACAACAGGCTCCTCCCACCTGCCCAGTGACCACCCCCCAGCCCCCGGGACCTCACAATCCACAACGGAACCTGAAGCCCTAACGCCCTCTACAGTGTTCTTTTTATTATTCCAAACCGTTTTGCCTCCTTTGCTCCCTTTTCCCCTCCAACTTCGTTATGTACAGGCCTTTAGCCTTCCTGAGCCACTTGCAGGCCATACTTCTGGGTGTTCCTCCCTGGACCTTCTGGGATGGGCTGTTTCTTTTGTGCCACCTTCTCAGAGTGCTCAGCACAGTATGGGTCTGGGCCACTGCATACAGTTGTGCAGGGTGTGCCCTGACCAGGGGTGCCTACCAAGGGGCATGTGTGGAGGCTGAGCTTCAGGTCATCTCCACTCAGCAAAGCATGCTGCCTCAGGAGCAGGAGGCGCCTTTTTGCCTTCTACCTGCTGGAAGGCACAAAGGGGCACCTTTTTCTAATTTGCACAAAGGTACCTGCCAGGTGTGCTAGCGGGGGCCAGGTGCAGGTCACCCAGTGGGTGCTTACTGTGCTCACTGAATGAATGAATGAATGAACAAAAGAACAAAGTGGAGGCGGTGAGGATAAATAAGAGACTTCCACAGTCATCTAGGTAAACATTAATGAGGCCCTAAACTAGCATGTAGACTGTATTTACAGAAAGGAGGGGATCAACAGGAGAAGAAGCAACAGCCCATCGGTTGGGTTATAGCTTCTGGGATGGCAGAGGAGAGAGGGAATAAAAATGACCTCCTACCTGTAATCACCACTAAAACTTGACTCTTGCACAAGAAGAATAAGGACAGTGTGGTCGCAGATGAGTCCTACACCTTCAGTTCTGGAGAACTGGCTTTGATTAGGTAACAAGGTGACAGGAATTATGTACTTTTATGTGCAAGGCCCTGTGTTGAGCAGTGCTGGGGAGATGTAAGACTACCACTCCCTTAGAGAGCTTGTGATCTAGTTGAGGGAGCTGGACACAAGATTCCTGATGCAGGGCTGTGTCCACCAGCATCACACGTGATAATCATAGTGCTGTGTGTGCATGCTGCTTTACGGCTTGCGGTGAATTCTCCCTGTATGAGGTGGCTATTATGCTGCTTCTCTCTGAAGAGGAAATTGACATTTCTTGCTTGCTTCTCATCCCATTTTCTGACTGCTAATCACCATATTGAGTTTAACCGTATAAAATTATCATTATTGTAGGTCAAAAATGGCCCAATATCAGCAATCTCATATAGTTCATCCTAACATTTCCACTATATTATGCTGCCATTCCAAGCCTTTTGAATGGTTTTATTGATTTGTTTTAAGGCAATTATAAAAGGAATTTAAAAAAAAGAGGAGCGATGCTCTTTCTGGCAAATGTGCAAAATAGGAAAAAAGTATGCAGAAGCAGAAAAATCTTAATCCCAAATTCTACAGTTCAGAGGCATCCTAATAACATTTTGATGTATTTCCTTCCAGATAGTTGATAGTTTTCTTTGCATTGTTTTACAAAGTTGAGATGTTATTTAATATATAATATTATGTCCTTTGTTTAAAAATGTCATAACTATCTTCACATTAAATATTTTCATAAACATCATTTTTAACAATAGCATAATATTCCATTAAATATAAATACCATATTTCCTCCTATTATTGGACCTAAAGGTTGTTTTAATGTCTTAATATTATGTATATCTAGTGTTATTTCTGATTACTCTCTCAAGATAGATTCCTGACTTAGTCTGTTTGGGCTGATATAACAGAATACCATAGACTGGGTGGCTTATAAACAACAGAAATGTATTTCTCACAGCTCTGGAGGCTGGGAAGTCCAAGATCAAGGCAGATTGGGTGACTGATGAGGACTTTCTTCCTGGTTTATAGATGTCAGTCTTTTTGCTGTGTCCTCACATGGCATAAGGGGGCAGGGAGCTCTCTGGGGCTTCTTTTATAAGGGCTCTAATCCCATTCATGAGGACTCTGCCCTCATGACTTAATCACCTCCCAAAGGCCCCACCTCCAAATACATTTAGGATTAGGTTTCAACATATGAATTTGCAGGGGACACAAATATTCAGTCTTCCAAAAGGAATTTTGTCAAATTACTGGGAATTACTGGGTTGAAAAGTAGGCACCTTTTTCAGTCTCTTGATTTGTATCATCGATTGGTCTTCCAGAAAGCTCGTGCCACCTTGATTAACTTTAGCCTTAATAGTAAAACCAATCCTTGGCTGGTTCTGGTTTGGTTATGAGTGATAAATGCTGTAAGAGTTTAAAGACGAATGGTCAGGAAAGGCTCTGGAGTCAGGTGGACCTTGGACTGAGCGTGAAGGATCCATAAGCTTCAAATAAACTGAGAGGAAAGACTTTTCCATCAGAAGCACAGCGGAAGCAGAGGTACAGTGGACGCCATGAATGTGGCACGTTGTGGAGACAGTCATAATCTAATTTTTCTAAGGTGGATAGTCACTGTGTGGGAAAAGTGGGATATCAGCTGAGAAAAGGAATATCAGCTGAAACTAAACTTAATCCTGCAGGTAATGAGGAGCCGTTGACAGCTTTTGAGCAGGGGAAGATATAAGCAAAACAAAGTTTTGATGATTGTAGAAGACTGTGAAACCAGAAACATCCTTAACAGTGGCAGAAGATTTTTAAAAATGATCATCTGTTTTAAAAATTACACTTCATATAAACATGCTAGGAATGATTTGCTGTAGTGCTTAGCATATGATGGTGATGTGACTTGTTGTGCCACAAATGACCTGTCAGCCATGTCTGGGTGGCTCAGGTTTGAGATTCAAGCAGGGTGGCTGAGAGACCACTGTGGCTGGATCCAAAATGGTGGTCAGAAGCTATTTCACATGAAGGAAATCTCAGTTTTCATGAAAAAAAGGTTGGTTGTCACTGGGACAGAGATGTCCAGACATTCAAGCTGTGAGAGAATTGTGAAAAGGAAAGGTGAGAGGAGAAGTATAGGAAGGACCCACTGAAGCTCATCCACTAGAGCCCTTCTCATCCTCTCTTTGGTTTGACACACGTTTACAACAAATCCTGATGAGAAGTGATTTTGCCCCCAAGCATTTACTAGTAAATAAAAATTTGATCTCTTTTAATTGCATTTTTGCCATTTTTAAGGAAACGTATATGTTGCAAATTCTGATTTCCAGTGTGAATGATAAGTAAAATGTGGTTGTTGCTCTTACATCCTTATATTTTCTCCCTTTTTAAAAGATAAACCAGATATTTTCAGTCAACGCAAAATGATGACAGATATTTCAGGCTTTCTTCAATTAGCTGGCCAAAGTATATTTTATGTTAAATAAAATGTATTGTAAGACACATACACTTTAAATATCCGTCTGTATCTCACCATTCCTCCCATAGCACAATGCTTACGTTGTGGAAAAATAAGTCTCAGACTCAAGTTTTAGAGTTTATTAAGGTTGGTTGCAAGAAGGAATGAGGGGTCCACGCAAAATTGGGAGGGCCCCAAAGAGATAGTGATTTTTCTTGAGATACATTGTCGCAAGGCACATTAATCATGGCAAAATGTTACAACCATGCAAGATACTTGATGGCATTAACTTAGGATAACTACCAAAAAGAGCTTCCACGAAAAGTACAGCTAACATATTTTTGAAAAGAATGATGCTGTTTACTCGGGGAGTAAAACATGAGGATGTCCCAGCTTGCTGGGGCTTTACTTGTCCTTAATTGGGTCTTTGTGAGATGTAGCTCCATTATGGGCTGGGCCGGCTTCACGGATGTGTGATTTGTGCAGTCACACATGGCCCTGTGCTTAGGAGGGTCTGCTGCTTGGTGATGTTCTTCTGTCACCACCTTAAAATTCCTAATAAATTTTCAATAAGGAGCCATGCATTTTCATTTTACCCTGGGCCCCACAAATTATGTAGCTGATCCTGCTTATGAAAGTTGATTTCACCCACCTGTACTATATATCATGGGCTAAAACATGGTTTTCACAAGACCAAACTATGGCCCAGGTTGGGGGCGAGGACTGCAGTGAGCCAAAGGAGTTTCTGGCTGCCTCCTCTCATTTCCACAGGAGGCTACACAGAGCAGGAAAGGGAAGGAGAGAGCTGAGGTTCGGGGCAGACAGGGGCTGCTGACGGCTAGAGTTTCTCCATTAAGAACAACAGCAGCTGCTACTACTCTTGCTACACCCACCACCACATCAAGCTAATATCTGCCAGGCTCTGGCTAAGTGCTTCACGTGCATTATTTCCTTTAACTTAATCCTCTCAACAACCTGCAAAATGAGTATTATCCCTCCCCCGCAAGAGTATTATTTTTATGGATGAAGAATCTGAAGTTTCCAGCAATTAAGTTGCCCACAATTACAGAGCTGGTAATCATCTTCTCCCATTCACTGTCCTTTCTCCTCACTTAAGAAGTGGCCAACCATGCTTGTCTGTTGTTAAAATTGAGCTTAAATCACTTATTTCTTTACTTAAAAAAACTCATTGGCAGGGAGAGGGCGGTAGACTAATGTTTACATAGATTGTTTATTTCCTGCTTTTTACTTTCATATAATTGTAGAAAGTACTGTTATTTAGGACCTTTTGGATATAAATTTCTTTCCTTTGTCTCTGCGGATACTATCTGGACAATATACTAATACTGGAAATGTTTTGCCAAGGAGAAATAGGTACACTCTCCTTATTGTCTCAGAAGTTTGTGTCAATAAACAATGCTATATATTTTTTAAAACTCAGCCAAGATGATATTTTGTTTCTTGGTTATTTTTCTTATTCTTGTTTTCCTAGTTATGTGTGATTGTGGTCTGCCATAATTAAAAAAGATTATCCATATTTTCTGCTTTAATTTTGCATTAAAATGAGATTTTTCAAAAATTTGTAAATAAATTCTATTCTGAACTAACCTAATTATGTCTCCTGCAGGAAAGCATCTCTGGCAGCTGATGTGTCCAGGCTTGGATATAGTTCCTCATCCAGTCACAAGTACATTCCCCGGAGAGCAGTGCTCTATGTACCTGGAAATGATGAAAAGAAAATCCAGAAGATTCCATCCCTAAATGTAGATTGTGCAGTGCTTGACTGTGAGGACGGTGTGGCTGTGAACAAAAAGGTAACGGCATGATTTTTCTTTAGGATGGAAAAAGAAATGGATTGAAATTGGGTGCTCTCCTGGTACCATTGCTCACTATTTGGAAAGATTCTACCATGCTCACCTTTTGCTGATTACTAACATATTCTTGACCCAGCCCTTGTATAGGTTCTGAATGTGTCTCTTTTCTCCAAGAGAAAGGAAGAATCCAATCAAAATATGTTTAAAATCATGACCTTCAGGATATGTGCCTATGTGTGTGCATAGATAAAGAGACACTCAATCCGTTTTGGCCATGATATTTGCTGGTTTGGGCAAATGACTTAATCCTAGAATTGTGGTGTAGATTTTTCAGACCAATAAGATACACTTAGGAATTTCTTTCTTTACTGCCAGGTATATTGAGGAGTGGCCTTATCTCTTCTGGCACAAGTGCCAAGAAAATGAAAGATAGTTTTCTCTGGATAAGTCACCCTTTTCCCCCACTTAATTAAGGGTAACTACGTGCACAACCTCAGGGTTACAGCCTTTGGCCTGACTAAAGAAATGAGCTTGGGAAAAGACCCAATCTGTAAACAGCTACGAAAGGTTCTTACTGGGTGGTGGCATAGTGGGTGCTTTTTGTTTCATTTTGGGTTGCTTGACTTTGTTTTCCAGGTTTTTATAACGAAGGTGGATTTGTTCAATAATTAGGCAAAATATGTAAATCATTATAACAGTAACTTACGTTTGCATGGAACTGTTTTAGTTAAAAACCTGCTTCTACTCAACTTTTATCTACCTAGTCCCTCAACAATGAGGTTGGGCTGTGAATGGATTGTGGGGCTGGGGGACAGAGGAGCTGACCCTCTGGATTTATGCCTATTTGAATCATTTCTTGTCCTAGGCGATCTGAAATAGCATGGTTGTACTATACAACTTTCTTGATTAATTGCTTTCTTTGGAGATTGTAGCAAACAAGTATTTGCCTTAATTAAAAAAGAAAGTTAATTTCTAGCATCTTCCTAATGGTCAAATCAAGGCTTTCCAGGTATTTGGGAAAGGATTAGAATATGCATGTGGAATCTAAAGTGTCTACTCAACATCTTTGGCATGTACCAAGGAAGTTACGATTAATCTTCTGTCTCCCAGAGATTAAGGTAAATAGGCCTTTTCTTGAAGGATGCAATGTGATTCCAGTATGCCGCCTTCCAAAACTCATGTAGTGCACTCTAAGATTAGATACTGAATTGTAATTCCAGTTCTCTGTGACCCAGGGCAATTCACTGTACTTCCTTGCCTCAATTTCTTATCTATACTGTGGGATAACAAAATCTCCTTTTGTCGGGGACAGGGATTATTATAAAGAAAAAGTTTGATAAAATGCCTGGGAGTAGCTTGATTTCCTATAGGAACTAGACTAGAGAAATCTTGTAGTAATCATGATTAAAGGGGAATTTATTTTAGCATGTAGCACAGTGAACCATTAGGTGCCCTGATAAACTTCTAATTATATTTCTTGACAAATCTTGAGGCTATCTCCCCACACCCACCTTAGGATGTTTCCTGCCATCCAGATGAGCTGGAAATATGGTCCATTCCTGCCTCACATTTCTTTACTTTTATTCTGTGTTCTGAAGCCCATCCTTATACCTGGAGCCACTACTTAAGAGGAACCTAAGGAGGGGAAGGGGAGAGAAGAGGTCACCATGGGCAAGCTGTGTCTGCCAACTTGGAGTCTATGTCCAGACAGTGTCTTCATCAAAACACTCCAGTTCTCTTAATACAGCTGAATTTCGCACACTGTTTTATGCATGCTGAGCTTGGCGTCAACTAAACGTCCCTTTTTTATCCACAGAAAGTTCTGGCAAGCCAGGCTAGTACTTGTAAAAAAAATTTTTTTCTTTTTTCCTTAGAATCTCTATCCAGAACTTAACTTCATCTCATATCTTTCATTTCATAGGCCTACCCTGTCAAGGTATTTTTGGATTTTGATTTCATCATCCAGCATTTATACCATCTGAGAATTTCATCAGCACACCATATGAAAATTTAACAAGTTTCTGATGGAAATGTTGAAGAGGTCAGAGCCAACTGCTGCACAAGCATGCCACTAGAAACTTCTGTTCAAGTTTAGTTAACAAACATTTATATGGCACTGACTAAATGCCAGGCACTGTTGTAAGGGCTTTAATTTGTGTAACAACCTAGGGAGGTACTGTTCTTATAGTCCTTCTACAGTAAGGAAACTGAGGCACGGATAAGTCAAATTCATGAATCAATACTACAAATGTGGTCATTCAACCACTAACTCTCCTGGAATCCACTCTTTTCACAAGGATGTTATAAGAGGTTTTTATCTAATGCAGTTTCAAAATGAAGATACCTTCCCCATCGACTTGTCTAGAAATACCTTCTCCCCCGGCACCTCTACCTTGCTAGAAAATTGAGGTTAGGTAAATGAGACTTAATCTGGATGAATCCATATCAGTACCTAGTTGTTGCCACCTTCTTTTGAAGTTCTGGAGATACAGAAATGGTAATAGCTACCATTTACGGAGAGTTTTCTATGTAACAGATGCTATATTAAATGTTTTACATATATTGTCTCATTTAATCCTTACAGCAAAGTTTTGAAATATGTCCAAGGTCACAATGCCATTTAATGGCAGAACCAAGGAGATTTGAGTCTCCTAGAATTTTTTCCAGAAATTAGCCTCAAGTTCACCTGTCAACATATTCCATAATTCACCTTTTTCCTGTTTCTTTGATAGTTAATGCCTTGGTTTCTTTTATCCATTGTCATTTTTGTGTACTGCATGGTTTCTTGAAGATTACTGACAGGAGCTCCATATTCACATCTGTAGTGTCCTGGGACTTCAACTCATTTGAAATGTCCAGAGGAAATTGCTTATAGTCTTTTTGTGTGTGTGTGTGAGGAAGATTGGCCCTGAGGTAACATCTATTGCCAACCTTCCTCTTTTTTGCTTGAGGAAGATTGTTACTGAGCTAACATCTGGGTCAACCTTCCCCTATTTTGTATGTGGGATGCCGCCACAGCATGGCATGATGAGCAGTGTGTAGGTCTGCGCACAGGATCTGAACCTGAGAACCCCGGGCCACCAAACTGGAGCATACAAACTTAACCACTACACCACTGGCTCTGCCCTCTTTTTTCTTTCTTGAAGTCACCTCTTAATTAGGTTTCTTATTTGAATATTATTCCTTTTGATGGAGTAAATAGAGACTATTTTTAGGTGAGTTTATTTCTTCCTAAGAAGAAATTCATATTAAAACTCTCATTTCAGATTATACAGTTATAGTTTTGCTAAACTGAACTTCTCTTGCCTAATTCAACTTTCTTAGCATTGTTAATACTTAGTCACTTTATGTTTCATTTTGTTTCTTTTTTATTAATATATTAATCCAGTATTTCATTTGATTGACTCTGTGGAGTATGGGCTTGTAATGAAAACAATAGGAGTCTCCATAAAGCAGTTTATAAGTATATAATACCTTCCAGCAGGCTCTAATCCTGTCCTGCTAATCCAATTTGTGTTTAAGTAGCTCCTTCATGTCAAGGATGGCACTACCAGCTCACCTTTCCCAAGCATGGATGATGAAAAGACTGCCTCCACTCCCCTCTTATCTACTACTTTTCATTGTTAAATTCATGAGGAGATGCCGGACTGTCTAAGCCATTCCTTGCTGGGACACAGTGAAAATAAGCCAGGTAATGCACAGATTTCTGGTGAATCTCCATGACACAGGGTGAGGTCAAGAAGGTAGGAATGGAGTAAATAGAGGCAGGATTCCAGGGCTGCTATTTTAACTGAGAAATATTTAAATACATATTTAAATTAATTTAATACTTAAGTTTAGAAAGTAAGTTTAAATGTTCAATATTTAAAGAAATATTGAATACCTACTCAACCAGGCACCATGGTAAGCAGGAGGCTTGATGAGCGGTGCCATGTCTGCGCCCAGGATCTGAACCGGTGAAACCCTGCTCAACACACACGGAGCGTGTGAACTTAACCGCTCAGCCGTGGGGCCGGCCCCTGGTTCTAATTATTTTTAACTTCCACTGATCTCTTGCTTTAGCCATGAGAAACAAAGGTCTTCCCAAACTCTGTGTAGTTAGGAACCAGCTTGGTTATTTTTATTTCTTGTTGCTTTGTTTCATTTTTAAAAACATTTCTAATCCATTGTGGACAGATACTTTTCATAAAATGCAACAGAAATGAATTGCTAGAAAAATTAAATGCTGTTGAGTGTGGCAGCGATGTCCAGTGCCGTAGAAGTTTTGAAATTCATACTCCTAGTGTCATGGTCATAGTCAGAGTTTGTCGATCAGGGGTGGTCCACAGACCACAGGTTGAGTAGCAGGAACTTAGAATTTTTAAATTTCCAGGTATATGGGAGATTTTTTATTTAGTCTTTTGTTGCTGACTTCTCGTTTAGTTGCATGATGGTTAGAGAATGTGATCTGAATGATGCTGATTTTTGAAAATTTGTTGCATCCTGTTTATGGCCTAGTGCATGAGCCATTTATGTAAACGTTCCATATGGGCTTAAGAATGTTTATTTTCTATTTACTAGTTGCAGAGTTCTATATGTTTTCCATTAGACTAAGCTTTTTAATTATATCATGCAAATATCCAAATCTTTACTGATTTTCATCTGCTTTATATGTCAATAATTGAGAGGTCAGTTGAAATCTACCCTCCTGTGGAGATTTGCCAGTTTCTCCCAGTAGATCTGTTCATTTTTGCTGCTGATGGTTTGAGCCTATATTATTAGGTATATACAAATTTACAATTATTATATCCTCCTGGTATCTATTTATTATTAGCACTGACCCTCTTTATCCCTTACAATGCTTTTTGCTGTAAAGTTTATGTGGTCTAGTTTTTGGTTAGCATTTGCCCAGTATATCATTTTCAACATTTTGCTTTCAACTTTTCTGTTTCTTTATGTTTTAAATATGTCTCCTCTTGTTTTAAAAATGTTTATATTCATGTGGACATTCTCTGTCTTCT